GACAAAAAGATAAAGACAAAGTCCCCTGAGTTTATTACTATTTTAAGTATAGTATATTAATACAACTTGTATTATACATTTTAGCTAAAATTTCTGTATTGTACAAAGCCAAAATTACCTTACATTAGGTACATTATTTCACAAGTAGTCATATTTGGAAAAAAACCGAAATTTCCATAGTTTTACATTGCAAATTTTAGGATTAATGTTACTATAAATTGCCTACGCACAAAATCTACATAAAAAATAACAAATTATATGATTTGTTGTTTATCGAAAACAAGTTTTTTACCACTAAATACATTTTCATATGTGAGCTGTAAAATGGAATAACTACTAAAACTCAATAAATCCTGAGCCGAGGGGAAGGGTGATATCGCTCTTTGTCATAATGCAAATTATATAGAAAAATTTCTATAACTGTATACTGGATCTGGGGCCCACAAATTTCTGGCTACGTTACTGGACACGACTTGTGTATTTTTATTTTTATTTTTTTGTGTCTGGACCCACGATATCCTGTAAACCGCTGAACCGATTTCTTCGTGTAGCAACTCTATAGATCAGAAATCATACCTGAATGGTACTTTGATGGGCTAAAAATTGAAAAAAAGTCATCCCTTCCCCATCAAAATCGAGAAAAACACCCAAAAAATTTACAAATTTTTCTACTTACAAATACGATGCTCTAAAACTTTTTTAAAAATAGTCGAAAATGTTCCAAATTTATATGAATGGTGCTTCAAACATAGTACTATCGATAAACATTAACAAAACAAAAATATATCATAAACCTTTTCCCTTAGAAGGGATAGAATTTTTTTCTTTATTTCACTTTTTCAAGCAAAGTTTTTGAGATTTAGATCTGAAAAGTAGATCTAAAGTGGATCTATAACATATACAATTTTCTCAAAATCTGTAGTCAATTTTTTTTTATCAATGAAAACCACCAAAAATATGGTAAATTTACACTTTGGCCGTAGTCAGTTTCTAGGTTGCTATGTGCGAGTGAATCAACAGTCAACAGGTAATGAAAATATTTGTATTATATTGTTAATTACGATATATGAGTAACTATGACAGTACATTTATATAGACAGACGATCAACACTTATCGTATCCACCCTGCACAAGACTAAATATTAAATTTTAAGTGCATTATTGCTGGTCCCACAATATCTTCAACCGCTATAGCTGGTTTGAACATACTATCCACAGACTCGCATCCAAGCGTTTATTTAAAAGTGATTTTGTTACTTTCAGTTCTAATAAAATCTGGATACCTGTGACCTCTCCGTCCCCACTATGCCCCGACCCCACTGTCCTGTTTATTTATTTTTATTTGCTTACCCACTACATATTTTACAGGTCAATTATTATAAAAACAGTAACTTACCAGCAAAAAAAATAATTCAATCTTCATGACAGATACTTTACTGAAATTACCTATTTCATAAAATAAAAATATATACGAAAAAAAAAAATCAATACTATTAATATAATAGTAACTTATTATATTAAGTGATTTTATTCAATTTTATCACTATTATTTATGGCAACTTCTGTAGGCCTGTGACCTTTCTGTCCCCTCGTCCCTTTTTGTGGTCAAATTCTATGTTTTTGGGGTCGGTGATTATGAATTTAATATCAGTCTTCAATTTTAATCAGCCAAAAATTTAATTAAAACCCAAAAATGATACTTGAGTATCAAATCCTAACAGTATCATTCAACATAGATCTACAAAAATTGTTGTAATGATTTCATAAAGTGCAGCAAGTATGATAATCTATCGATTCTATCTACTGATCCGCTCTTATCCTTCTATAAAAATAATATTAAGTTGATTTGTTCCTCTTCCTAAACTGACTATCATGAATTTGTTTGATAGAATACATTTCGAATAAAATAATTTCGCCTAAATTGTTTTCAATCTAATTTCAAGATTATATTAAATATTGGCGGGACCCCTGCATTTGGCAAAGCGGGTCGATCGTCGAAAAACATGTTGTTTTAAATTGGTTAGGTACAACCAATTACTACATACTAACCTTACATCTGAAAGACAGCTATAATAATATGTTGTGGTTTTTGATTACATGGCTAGTGGCGGAAGCGTGTGATGAAATTTACAAACGACTCTTGTGTTTATTTGTGGTCGTTATATGAATTTGATCGAACCTCTGTTGACCGAAGAAGGTAAGGATGCGTTAAAGGAACTATTTAACGGCATGGACGTATCCGTGTTTTTTTTTTTCGAAAACCAAGTGGTCGAAATGTTAAACGTTTTATATAATTTCGGTAAGATCGATTCTATGGAACCGTTATGGCTCGTGTACATGTATTCGAGAAGTTTGAGCTTAGTAGGCATAAAGCGTGTACTAATCGAAGAAGATACACGAGTCCGTTTGTTGAGCTAATCGCAAGACAGTTTCTACCCAATTTGCAGGATTCACTGGACAACAATGCAAGTATGCAGATAATAATAGCCACCAATACGTCAATTCTGGTTATTTTATTTCGCTGGAAGAACTCCACGCTATCCCAACAATATCGCCTAAGAGAATCATTGAATCTGTGCATAAACTCGAGGAAACAAGCAACACTCGAATCGCAAAATTAACTAAAAAAATTAACATCGTAGATTGTACATCGTACTTCAGATTTGATCATTTGAGTTTGCGATCTGCAATGGATGAATTTGTTTTTAAACAATTTTTATTGAACGTTTTTGCAGAAATTACCGACAAATCGGAACAAGAACGTATATTCCTTCTAATAAATAATAAATGTTCCAAAAGTCTTAACATTGAATCTAATGGGGACACTGACCAATGCTTGAAAATACCGTTTTGGAACAACTAAAAAAAATAAATTTGAAATATTTTCAACTCGGTAGCGAGTTCTCTTTTCTGTCGACAGGTTCACTGAAAATTATTATATAGAAAGGAAGTATAAGTTATGGACTATGGTTAAGTCTTGGTGTTTTGATCCTAATATATTAGTGAGTAAATTAAGTTTTTCTTTATTTAGTGAATTTCTAAAACATTCATTTGAAGGTATTGATTTTGATGAAATAGGTTCATTTATTCGTTATTCTAAAACAAACATGTAATGTAATTATTGTATCATCATAGTTTACCCAATAACCTAACAGTCTTATATTAATATTATAAAAACAACAAATTATGTCAAATAAATAATATGCCGTTAACTACAATTTTAACTGGTTGTCATTTCTAATAACTATTTATTCATCATTCCGGTTTTACTAAATCATCTCCATAACATTACAAGTTTGGCAGAGGGAATTCCTCTATGGTTTCCTGCTTAATAGAAATAAATGTGTGAGCTGGGAATGGCCTATTCTTACTCGGCAAATAACGTTTTGGCCATGGCGGTTGAATTCAGGTGGATATCGGTAAGCTACAATGTTATCTGTGATGTCTCTCAGCTTATTGTTTGCTTTTGGAGACCAGTGATGACGCCACTTATATCTTTCAGCATTTATCTTTCGCTTGATGTAAGAAACTTTTGACACTATGATACTTTGTCTAGAAAAAACTTAGCGAAAACATTTGCGGTATTAAATAATAAAAACTAAAAAAATAAGATTTTTAAAAAAAAACGCTTAACCAAAAAAAAAAAAAAAAATAGGCTTAATACCCAATCAATTTTCAAACTATATTTTTATCTTTCCTACTGTTTTAGTTTTACAATAAATGTGATTTGTTTTTCGTATTGGTATTGTGGAAAACAATCTCTATTTAAAAAGATATGTCAAAATATATTAAATCCTTATGGAAAACTCTGTAATAATATTATATTATTACCTAAATCTTACTAATTTGTACCAACATTGAAATGTAACATACAAGTAAAATGTATATTCCTGTATACCTAAGGAATATTCTAAATTTATTACATTATTAGTTAATAGTTTATTTTAAATGAAAATTGATTTTCCTACCAGACCAAGTAAAGTAGTCAAAGGACTCGAATCTCTTTGCAAAAACAAAATCGAGTCATTCTATGTAGGCGCAAATTTGTCTGGCTTTTTGTTCTAAAATAAACCAAAACGACTTTTACTCAAAAGACAACATTTTATAAATTAAAAATAATACCTCGAAGCTAATACACATTAGTAGAAAATTAATTGACATGGTCGAAATGTGTTTAAATCACCTTTTTTCTAAAATATTGCCTATATAAATCTTCTTAAAAACGGTCACTTCCAATCCTCTTAGAGTCTAAAGTATTATTTTAATTTTGATATTGTTCAAAAAAATCTTACTATATTTGCAATGTTTAAACATTAACTCCTGTTATTCTGGAAAATTGTATTTTTATAACATTTATTTAACTGTTTTTGAGGAACAATTACATATTATTATTATCTGTTCCAAAGATGACTTTTAAAAATGGAATTTGTAGAAAAAGTTCTAGAACGTTTTCGGACGCCGGTAAAAACTAAAATAAAATAGTGCTTATTGTTTTATTCAGTTTTTTAAGAGTTTTGTCTGGTTATGCGGACTAGAGCCTTGGAAAATTATAGGAACTTGTCGAAGCACTGACATACAAGCATAGGTAAGTATATTGTTGAGCTCGTTGATTTACAATTTTTTTGAAACAGCCCAGCCTTGAAATTAGTATCATCAAAATAACATAATGGTAATTACCGATCAAGTATAAAAATAGATTAAAATTATCTATATGGACGTTGTTCGATTAATTTAATTCACGCTGCAAAACTGAAAATGCTATTCCAAAACGGATCAATTAAATATACATAAAATTACAATGTCAAATAATATGCATACATTATTATTATTGTTGTTGTTATGCTTTTATGAAGTTACAACGTACATATATTATATTACTGTGAATCAGAAATGTCGGTGAATAGGAAAGAAACAAAATTCTACACACTAATAGTGAAAAGTTGATATTTAATATATATTGATAACTTTGTTTATGTAATAATTATTATGCACGACACGCATATTATATATTATTATTATTACATTTATATATTATAAAAGTCATGAAACCATTAATTCAACAATAAACAATAACCTGATGATCTGGGTACAATAGGTAATCTTAGTAATGTTAACCTTACTATTAAAAGGACTGAATACAAAGTGAGTGAAAGTGATATTTCTTTTAAAATTTAGATCCTACCATATTATGAATCCGGATTAATACCGCCATACATTCATTGAAGCATTAAAATAGGTAAATATGTGTAAAGTGGCACAGTCTTAGAAGAATACATTATAGAATCAAATTTATTTCTCATTATTAAAGCACACTCAAAATAAGGATTGAAAGCTCTTTTAATATATCAGTTTGTGTCATTTTAAGTTGATTAATCTTTAAATATTCGGAAGTGAACCATGAAGAACTCTGCAATATTTATATGTTTGTCATCTAAAAAGTAAAACATTTTTTTAGTTAGGAATTACATTTGTTGTCTCCGGACCCGTTTAAATATTTTAACCACCGTAATATAATATTTACTATATAAAAACATCTGCAAAGTATTTGGACTTTACCAAAAATCAATTATGTTTTTATAACAAGATAAAAACTAATGTCGTTGATTTATTGGGGTTTCTCGGAATTCACTTTTCTAATATTTCAGCTATGGCAAATTGTATTGGGCCGAGACCATCACAACACTACTCTATTCTCGTACTGTGATGGTTATTAAAAGATAAAAAACCAGTACAGTGGGGTCGGGGCATAGTGGGGACGGGGAGGTCACAGGTTTACAGGAATTTTTAAATCTGAAAGTGATAAAATCACTTTTGAAAAAACGCTTCGATGCAAATTGGTAGTTAGTATTTTCAAGCCAGTACAGTCCAAACCAAGCACAGTATAAACCAGTAAAGTTTGAAAGTTTTAAATTGAGGTTCTGTATTTACAAATAAGCATTAAAACGTTAATTTGAAAGTGATTTTATCCGAGAGGACTAGTACAGTAGAGTATAGGCATAATGGAATCAAAGCAATGAGGAAACGGAAAGGTCACAGGTCTACAGGAATTATTATAAATATAGCCAGTAAAATTTAAAACTTAAAACTCATTCGGTTTTTTTTTTGTTTTTTCATATTTTAACTGTGAGGAAGTAAAGGGTTTTAACAGTTACCCCCCCCCCCCCCCAAGTACTAACTAGATGAAATTTGTGATTTATAGAGTTGCTACTCGAAGGAATTGGTCCGGTATTTAAAAAGTTACAGTGTATACAGATAAAAAAAAACACACATCAGAGTAAAACCAATACCTTCTCGCTTTGCAACGAAGCTAAAATTGAACTAATTTCGTTAACACTACTGTAATTAGCAATAATATTACCATCGTAATCGAAATCCGCAACAACAGTGTTATGATTTTTTATACATCCTGTAAATTCGGCTTCTCCGAGTAAACCATTGTGGTTGTTGTCAAGTTTAGAAAAATCAATCAATATGAATCTGACTTTTTCCATGGTCCATATAACTTTAGCCTGAGAAATCATTAAAGTAATTCATACTACAGTACCTCGTTATATTATGCGCGTTGCATAAAATCATATAAAAGCCAATCGTAATTAATTTATGGTTATTACATTTATGTCGAACTCTTTGTCGTATTTAGCTGTAACAATCATTATCTCTTGCAACTCCAAAGCAGCAAATCCTATAATCAAAATATATAATATTATACATATATTATATACAATTTTATAAAACTATTACTACTTTTTACTATATTTATATACAGAATAAAATTTGGAAAATATTTTAATAAAAATAATAGAATCCTGGACTACAACAATTTCATAAAAATCAATTAAATGAAAACGAGCGAAAATATTAATTGTAACTATAAATAATACCAATTAAACACTCTTACGGATGGACGGAAAAACCAAAAGTTTGTCCTGGTCTTCTGTAACTATAGAAAACTTTTTGAATAACTTTGTTATTTCCCCAGGTTCAATGTGGTTGCCATCTGTTTTGTGATCTTTATATAAATTCATTAGGAACTGAACCTGATTCAAATCTAGACCTCTGCCCTAAGTACAAGTGTTATCGTGTAAATAAAACGTTTATGGCTCGGTTTTTTTTTTAAAGCTTATAAGCTATTATTTACAAATATTTTTTTAGGCTTGTTTAAATGTTATACCAGTCAAAAGCATAGCTATATGACGTGTATTTTATCGAGCCTTTGACAAACTTATATACATACTCGTGGTTTTATGTTCAAAATGCCTTTCAAAAACACCGAGGCGTTAAATACACCGACATCTAATAATTAATTTAAAACGATCAAACTTGGCAATATATAATTAGCACTTTCGTTTAATTAATAATACCTTTGTCTACTATGTCCAAAACATTGTCTTCTAAATTTATTTTTTCGGGCACTTTTAGATTTAAAGATCTAATGATCACGCGAAGTCTATCGTCGAGTGGCTTAACGTTATCGAATTGCTTATACAGGCCTACATAAATGCTGACTTCATAAGACGTTAAACTTGGAACCTATGTAAAGCAGAAAGTATAAAAATAAATAGACAAATTAATTCGCAATTTATTAATATATTTTTTTTTTTGTTATTACTTGTATCATGTGATCGATATGCTTATCGTAATAGGCCAAAAATAACAAAAGTTCTTGTACTAATTGATCGTGGGATAGATCTATAGTTGAAAAAAATATTAATAAAATTGTAAACAATTATTAATCAAGCTATATCCATCAGATCGATCGATGGATACTAATTTTTACAAACAACTTTTTTTTTTTTTTGGCTTACATTCGGTAATTACCCAAACAATTAATACCTATTCAAAGATAGTGTATTACCTTCATTGTATTTAAAACCTGAACAATCTGTAATGCCAAAATATTTCGCCAATTCCTCAATATCTTCCATGGTAACTTTTTTTATAGGTTTTTCGTTTTGTTTTGCCAAAAGAAAAAAATTTTGGCTGAAATTAATCGAAGATTTGTAGACACGAGGAAAGTGTTGTATATCTTTTTCTCTGAACAAAAAATTTATATGTCCAATATGACTGATATCGATTCCAAAGCTCTATAAATTGTCATCAATTCATTGACAATAATAATCTTGATTACCCACAGTTTTCTTTTTAACAATTATTGTTTATGTTATTATAAGTGTTTTGTATTTACCTGTGTCACAGTCACGAAGTACAGCGTGCAAAAGATAACAGCACTTTTGAAATGCATGATGGGGTTTTTACTAACACTTGGAGTTCAGCTAGAAACAAGTCTTTGTTACTAACGTCTGAATACGCATTCGATTTGATTCGGAGTGTGTATATGTGGTGCGAGTGGTAAAAACAACTTAAACGTACAAATGTAAAATGTTGTTTTTTCGTTTTATTTTATTTACATGTAATATTCCAAACATTTGTTTTCGACCAAATGGCATAGTTGTGAACACAATGTAATCTAATGTTTTTAGGAAAAATATGCATAATAACTTGCGTGAAATAAAATAATAATACAATGTTATTGGCTATATACCGCAAAAAACATAATAAAATAGTAATCGATGAATTATATTAAATCCTAATTATTCGTTTATATAAGAAAAAAAAAATGTATATATATTATATTGTATGACTACATTTATTAATGACCCAATTACTTGGGATGAGAGAATTCTTCTAAAATGTACATAGTCACTAGACATATCCATACAACTATTATCGTAGCTCCTAGTCAAATATAAAAATTAATGTTATAATTAAAATCCCTTTAAATTAATAATTATCTGTGATCAAGAATTATCAGTATTAACTATGAAACAACAAGACATTCTTGGCTGAATATTAAATGAGTTGTAATTGACGATCTTAGGTGCGAAGAAAAAGAGCATTTCCTTGGAGTAATTAAGTTACATAGAAATCGCCTGAAAATTATTCTATGGTCCTCAATTATTATTTAATGTCCTTTTAACATAAACTAATAAGCCTGTCTAAGAATTGAGTTCGATATCAAGCGATACCTTCAGTCTAAAAAAATATTCTTTAGACATAGTATCGTCAATTTTTTTTGACCATGTAGGTAAGTGGTTTATTTTAATTTTAAAAACGTTTTCCCCTAGAAGGCTTAGAATAATTCTACCCACATTGGTGAAGGTTTTAGGGCTTAAGGTCTGAAAGATATACTGATGTGATAATATAACATACACGGTTATCCGAATAGTTTGTTGTCAAACTTTTTTTTTATTAAAGAGAAATCATAAAACTTAGGATGGTAATTAAACTTTGGCGGTGGTGAATTCCTAGATTTGTACATGAGAGTTATTTAACAGTCTATATCTATCTGCAAAATAGTGTTATTATGTTGTTAATATTAATAACAAATATAGCAAATTTTGGTTAATTTTTAACTATGAAAGTTTACATAAATCTTATCTAATAATTAATAAATACTTTATATTATTGCATATTATATAAAATTGATTTCAACAAATCATAATGTTAGTCATTAAATATTTTATTTAAAAAAAAAAATGTACTTTAGAATTTTTCTAGAATTGAAATAAAATATATATTTCTTTTACTGTCGGTGTTGACACCTTTTGTCTTTTAACCTTGGCCTAATCAAATATACGCAAAACACATGTGGTATTTTACCTTAACTTTAACTTCGCATCTCGTTGTAACCAAAAAAAAAAAAAATTGCTGTAGAGTCTGTACTCGTATACTATTTCTCTTTATGTTGTATACAATTTAGAAAAAATATTTCAGGCTGCCTAGGGCAATGATTAATGAATATTATCCCTATCGGACTTCTGTAAATTCGGAATCGCTTTTACTAAAAATACAATTTTATGCGAAATATTGTCTTAATAGCTCTTGTACTGATAATTATTGTGTACAGGGTCGCAGTGAAGCGTGTTAGTTATAATATGCTCATTTCTCACAATGCCGTGACCCCACAGTAGTATTTTATGTTATTATATTCATTTAAAATCGTATGAAAATATTATAGGGATTATGATATCAACAATTTTTTTACTAAATAATTGCATATTGGCTAGTTATTTGGCTTCCGGATCTATACCTCTTATTATTTAACTTAAAATAATTTATGAATGTAAGATGTTATTTAAAATTTGCTTAATTTGGGAATGTACCTAATCGTGTGCGTTGTTTTGCAATAAATCACTAAAATCTTTTAATTAATAAAATCAAGAATAGGCAATAGAATTGAAAATCATTTTTACTTATTAGTCTAATAGTTAATTGTTACAATAATAATCTGTAGTGATATCGTACATCAATATTGTAAATTTAAGACTTCCCATTTTTTCAATTTATAAATTAAATATGAATTCAGTTTATTGCTAAGTACTTAAAATAGTCATACTGTATAGTTAGTTAGTAGAAAGCCAGTACAGTGGTGTCGAGGCATAGTGGGGACGAGGGGGTCACAGGTCTACAAGAAATATTATAATTTATAACCCAAAGTGATAAAATCATTTAAAAGTAAACGCTTGACCACAGATTTTTGATAAAATTGTCTATGTTATATTTCTATTCTAGATCTACCTTAGGTGTAATTTTCAGTACTAAAAAATTGCCTTTTAGTAAAAAAGGTTTATGATATGTTTTTTAAGAAGTTAATGAAAGAGTCTCAACATCGTAACCCTACGAGGCAAAGTCAGGGCATCATTAATTTATTTATTTATTTACTTAACAGGCACTAGTGCCCAAAACAACATTTACAACTGTAAATGTTGTTACATATGTTGTTTTTTTTTAACTTTTCAAAAACGTTTGTTGTTGTCAATAAATAAAAAAATTTTAAAAATGTTTTATTTATATAAAAATTGTGAGGTATAAACAAATAAGGCTAAACGAAAATTTTGCAAATTCGTGCGATACTTGTAAGTGAATAGAAAATCTACTAGAAGTTTGGTGATGGAGTAATTATTTTAACACCAGTAGTAAGGTTTCAATTTTTATTTTTTATTTTTCAAAACCTTTTTTTGGGGTTAAAAAATTTCAATCGGCATTAGTAATTATCAATAAGAAATTATTACATTTTTTGACATATCTGATGAAGACCAGCAACTACTTCATTGTATAACGAATCTGAATTGTACCTAAAAAATAACTTTGTGACTACCACAAAACAAAATATATGGATACATTTTGTTTTGTATTTGTCGGACATTGTTCTGACCTATTTAAAATAGGTATCAAAATAGTTCATAAAGGCCTAATTGAAATAGAATGAGAAACAATGCTTAACAATTTTAATTTAACATTATTATCTGGGAAAGCAATATGCAAAACGTGTGTACAGTTATTGAGTGATCCTGCTAAAAGCCTAAATACAAGTGTAACACTTTTACAACCCGAACGCGGTCACTATAATGATGGCGGAAAAAGGAGCTGACCTCATAAAATCCAGTTACGGCAAAAATGTAAGAACGATGTAAAACGCTAATTGTTTTAGTTGTCTTTTTTTAAACTGTCATATTTTTATACTATTCATATAATATAACGTTACCAATCTCCTAAACCTTTACAAGGTATTTACTGACATTTGGTTGGAAATGTATTTAAATAATATATTATCATTACCTATTTTTACAAGTTCCCATATCATTATCATCATAGACTGTACAAGAAATTAAATTTACACAGCACTAATATCAAATTATTTTGCAAGTTTACCACTCAAGTGCACAATATGTTGCAAGTTTTCTTTCATAAATAATTCTATTCGTATAAAAATAAGTTTGTATATTGTCACGAGTTATGTAACACATACGTTTTACACTAATGAACGACACACACACAATTAATTAAACTTAACACTTAAAGTAGTCTTCATCTTTTCTATCGTATCACAAATTAGTTTTTCCATCAGGCTCTAAACGACATCGTTTTTTATTTCTACTTCGTCCGATTCAAAATCGGTCCACTTGCTATTTTATTCGTACATCTGTTTTGCCACTGTTTGCTATCATTACCAATTTATGCACTTCTCTTTAGTAGTGTACGGCAAGTTCACAACCGACTCTTAGTGGGACTCTTGATAAAACCGATTTTCATCCGACATCCCGAATCGTTCAATCTGAAAAGTTAAACAACTATAGACGTTACCATTTAAGTTTCAAATGTTGCTATCAAAAAATCTAATTTGGGAGGGACTAGGAAAATAATATTTTGTGGACAATTGAGATCACGTATAAACACTGTGAATAATAGTAATTCAATTATCAATTTAACGCAGCGAGATACATTTAAAACACATTAACAACAAAAAGTGTGACATACCGTGTTAAAAAACTTGTATAAACAGTATAAACTTGTATATTATATATACATGGTGATCAGCTTATTTTTTTTTCTTTACATATTTTTATTTTGATAGCAACTTTTGAGTTCCAGTTTTCAGTTCCAAACCACACTTCCCCTCCCGTCCTAACTTTAAAAATAGTTATCCAAAACTGATTACCGACCAGTCAATATTTTTAGTACATTATTCTCAATTTAAAAAGTTAATTAAATGTATGCGTTACTATTTAAGTTTCAAAAGTTGCTATCCAAAAATCTAAGTTGGGAGGGGGGTAAATCAAAAAAAATTGTGAAAAAATGAGATCCCATTGCAAAAAAAAAAAAATTGAATTTCTTATTAAACCCTATGAGATATTGAGTGGTTCACGATAAGTGGATCACCCTGTAAATATATATATATAATATTATATCATATTTAAATTTAAAATGCAACATATTTTAAAATACTCTAATATTATTTTTTAAACTGCTTAACTATAGCCAATAATTGTTTTTTCCAAATAATGAAATATACATTTATTGATGTGGTCTGTATGTAAAAACTTACATTTAAACCGTGCCATATGATATATTTTATTTTGTTCGGTGAGTAAACATTTATGTTAAATAGTATTATAATATAATGTCGATTGTTGAGCTTGTTTATTATTTTTTTTCGGGGCACCATACGTGTACTAGCCCCATATTTATTAGCCCATAAATTAGCATATTTTTCTGGTCGAACTTTAGGGAGATTCCTTAACGTTGGTTTAGACCGCATATATTACTTTTTGTAATCCCAGTTATTAAACTACCTGTTTAATATTTTAACGTTTTTTATTATTATTATTTAATTTTGCTTATGCTTTTTTATGTTACATAAAATATTTACAAAGGTACAACGTTTTTAAATGATTTAAAAAAACGAGTAGTAGCCAATAATCGAATGTTGTTCTAACCAAGATAATTAATTGTAAAAGTCCAGTGAATTTG